GTAACACGAGTGAATTATTGTCGTTTTCTTCTGTTTAAAGTAATGCGCTTCTAAAAAGGATCTTGTCAGTTCAAACTTGGTTTTATAGTAAAAATTTTAAACAGGGAACCTTGCGCTCAAAATATCTCAATTCAGTGAGGTGAAACTACTAAATTACAGGGTGTAATATAAACCAATTATATTTGCTTTTGGCTTTATAGTAAAAGTAGCGTGTCCGCTTTTTAATAAAATTCGAAATGGCGTCGAGCGGTAGCGAAGATGTTATAAACGACGACGTAGAAAAATCACCAAAGAAGATTCCAGAGAGGGTGATACTTCAAGATGACGAATCTGCCGAAGACGTACGTAGATGTATAAGCTTTTATATTTATCATCTTTTGTATTATACTTTCGTTTCTAGCTGTAGTTTCTACACGTGATTGTCTGTAATTGTGTTGATCGTAACTTTCGACTTTATAATTACGCGTTTTAATGTCAATATATCGCATTCTTTTTACTTTAAAAAGGAAAACGAAGACGAAGCAGCAGAAACCTCTAAAGTTAAAAGATCGTCTGGTAGGCCAAAAGGCTCAAAAACTAAAGCCACAAAAGTATGTTTGTTGTTATTGTTATGCAAAAAAGCATTGCTCAAACATTTTACTACTCGTAATTAATTTTTGCGCGGAAAGAATTACAAAGTAGGCATAGTCCGCGAATTGTAACCGTTCCTTCGAATGATCCCGCTCATCTTGTACGAAACGGCTTCACAAAAGCATACCAATAATATATATTTCGGATATCGTTAAGTGTAATTTTATACACTTGATCTGTGCGTAGAAATGCCATAATATATTCCGCGTGCTTGAAGGAACACGTTGCAACGTTATGCTAATAAAACTCGCTTAACTTCCCAGCCTAAAGCAAGAGCAAGTTGAGTTTACTTGGTTGATTTCTACGTTTAAAATGGATGTTAAAAAGCTTAGTTGTAGGACATTTGTTAATCGTGAATGAAACATGCATCAAATTCCTTAACAAATATGGAATTTCCGGTCAAAAGATAAAATGTACAAATAAATAAAAACATTGAACACCTGTGGTGCAATTAGTAAGTAAAGACTAAACAGACTTGTACTGTAATACTCTAGAATTCAGTCTCTTCAGAGGGCATGTTTTGACAGGCCAGAAAGGGAAAATTGAGTTCATTCAGAGAGGGGACATCCTAGGTAAAAGTCATACATGTAAGGGGGAGCTACTTTGGAACGGGAGTATTAATTTTGGAGAAGGTGGGGTGGGGCACTCTAGGTAAAGCCCCTCCCCTCACCTTTGCAAAATAATGAATTGTGGGCTAGCACCTCCTGGTTTTTATTCCAATGTAATGGTATCATATGTTAACATATCTATAAAGATCCCTACACGAGAAACAAGGAATACTAATTCAACCAACGGCACCCTACTTCATATAACCAAAAGTAAAACTGTTTCTTTTCAAAACAGCTTTTACATCAGAGCTGCTACTGTGTGGAACACGCTTCCCGGCTTCATAAGAAATACCACCACATCTCTAGCTGCATTTAAATGTAATCTAATGAAATATTACGTAGAATTAACCCAACAAATTTATGATCCTGAAGATCCAAGAACATTTAAGTCTGTTTGTATTAAATGTCACACCACTCGCCCACTAATGAACTTATCAACTGGAACATTTTGCTAAATTTAGTTTTTGTTCGTTTGTTCGTCAATACGTTTGCTTTGTCTTCTTGTATTTGTGTTTAATTGTTATGTTTGCTTTAATTTTAAAATAATTAGATATACCATAAGTTGTTCTTTTTTGGAACCCCGTTATTGGAGAACTATCTCTGTGTGGAAATTCCAGTCATTTGTAACCATAGTACTCTATATAGATCTATTGCAATGGCAAACTTGTAAAATAAAAATAAAATGACCATTAATGCCTGAAGCCTCTTTGCCATTCATCACAAGAGTGGACTTGCAAGCTTGCTGCAAATTCGTTCATCCTATCACAATGCTAAACATTTTAGTTTAATTAGATGGAAGCACTCACAGCAAGCTCACAAAATGACTTTTGCAATGAGTGGAAAAGAGCCCTAACACTTTCCCTTGACTCGTAAAATAATCTGGCATGATCGAGACAAAATAAAAAAGTAGGAATGTGTTTTGCCTAAGTGAGCAACAAGGGCAGAGAGTCTGGTTTTAATTCTGCTGCCCAAAAGTGTACATCGGAAATGCAGTTGTTTGAATTAAATGTTTGAATTAAGGAAAAATCCGAGGATGAAGAGCCAGAACCGAAACGATCACGGGGACGACAAAAAAAATCGGTAATGTGTAAAACAAGTAAAATTGCCTGGTGTTAGAGAGGCTAAAATGACAAGCAGGGAAAGGGACATGTTTTTATTCAATTGTATTTCTGGTTTTAATTCTGCTGCTCTAAAGTGTTGATGGGAAATGCGATTGTTTGAATTTAGGAAAAATCCGAGGGTGACGAGTCAAGACCAAAAAAATCGGTAATGTATAAAACGAGTAAAATTGCCTGGTGTTAGAGAGGGTAAATTAATATGCAGGGAAAGGGATGTGTTTTTATTCAATTGTGTTTCTGGTTTTAATTCTGCTGCTCTAAAGTGTTGATGGGAAATGCGATTGTTTGAATTTAGGAAAAATCCGAGGGTGACGAGTCAGAACCAAAACGACGAGGAAGACCAAAAAAATCGGTAATATGTAAAACAAGTAAAATTGCCTGGTGTTAAAAACACAAGTAAAGTTGCCTTGTGTTTTTATTCAATTGCTGTATTTCAATTTAGGATAAGCCCGAGGTTGAGCCGGGAACAAAACGGCCAAGAGGAAGACCAAAGAAATGGGTAATGGGGGCAAAGGTGCCCTTTTTGGAATTAGGGAAATATTTGAGATGTCTTAAAAAATCATTACATATTTGCCTCATGAGCCCACAATCGCAAATCAAAATACTTGTAGGGCAAAATTTACATCACTTTTGCCCTAGGTGTCCATTTGCCTACCAAATAGTTTTGAAAAATTTTTACTACAATATTTGTGAAAAATATTGTATAATAGGTTGAAGTTGAGGCCCATCTACTTGATATGACACTTATCCTGGCATATGTACTCGAGTAATAATTTCAAATTTTGCCATAAACTGACGGACTACAACATTTGTGAAAAATATTGTCAGCGGGGATAACTCAAAATTTATGAAAAGTGAAAAGTGCTTCACCATGAAAATCTGCCTCCCCCTCCACTTGCCC